CCTGGAGAACCCAGCAGGCGCCTCATGTTAAACCAAGCTTCTTAATTTCCATGTTCTTAGTATTATCCACAGAGTATCGATTTCCCCCCCAAAGAGTTGTACATTTATTTTTCTGGATGAAGACCCATTTGAAAAAGACTCCATCCTTCATATAAACGGAAAGACAAAGAATATTTGGAAATTCTCCTAACATTCCCTAGAGATGTGACAGAGCCTTCCTTCACACACTTCTGCTGACCTCTGGGCACTCAAGAAGGATTAGGAGTCAAAGGCCTCTGAGGAAACCTGGCTTCAGTTGAAAAGAAGCCTCTGTGAACGTGCTGACCGCTAAGCCAAGTAGCAGGGCTGGCCCTCAAAACCCTGGCCCTGTCTGCTCAAAGGGCCATCAGGAAGGCGGTGGGGCCCAATGCCACGGCCTTCATCGAAAACCGTGTTTAGTTTTGTCACCTCGTTTCGTTCTGCCCAAGGAATGTAGATACATCAGGGCACCTTTCCAACCACGAAGAAAGCTATTCCAGAAGCACACAGATTGGGATACAGCTAAGGCGCCCCAGCTCTGGTGGAACAAACAAAACCCTGATGCAGTGGGGTGACTAGAGAGCAAGGTGGGCAGTGGCCTGCCTCCTTCTAGAGAAGAAAAGTCACTGGGGGATGGGGAGAGTGGAAGCCCTCCCCCCAACAAACCAAGGTAGGATTTGTGTGCCAATCTGAGAGAAGGAAGGAGAGCCTGGGCAATTCAGAGGCAGAAGCTTGCACAGGACCAGGAGTGGTGCTGAAGAAAGATGCCCAGGGCACCTCAGCACAAAACCAGCTGAGGACAGGTGCCAGGAAGAGCTTCATCTCAACTAGGAGAGGCCAGGTTCACAGAGGACACATAAAGGTGGTGAGGAGACACCAAATTATAATCAGTTGTTTATTCCTTTATAAGGAACATAACCAACAGAATGACATGTCATAGTGGCTAACATTTTAATAGAAAATTCCTTGTTATATTAATTAATTCACTTATAAATAAAATTGAATTAATTTCTTATCATTTTTACTTTTTTCTTGCTTATTGTAAGAATAAACTTAAGATGAGATCTACCTTCTTACATCTTTACATGTACAATACCGGATCATTAACTTGAGGCACCACGTGTATAGCAGATCTCTAAAATGTATGCATCTTGCAAAACTTCAACGTTTCCTCCTTTGACCAACACCTCCCCACTGCTCCCTCGGCACACCCCTGCCCCTGGCAACCACCATTCTGCTCTCTGCTCTAATGAGTTTGACTCCTTCAGAGATCTCATATGTGAGGATTCATGCAGTAACTGTCCATCTGCGACTGGCTTAGTTCACATCCAACAGTGGTCTTCAGGGTCTTCCATTTTTTTTTCATACAATGGGATTTCTTTTATTTTAAGGCTGAATAATATTTCATTGTACATATATATACCACATTTTCTTTACCCAGTCATCTGTCGATGGGCATTTAGGTTGTTTCCATATCTCTGTTATTGTGAATAATGCTGCAACGAACATGGGAGTGCAGATACCCAGATTCTGATTTTAATTTGTTAGAATACATAACCTGGAGTGAGAATGCTGGATCATAGGGTAGTTCTATTTTTATTTTATTGAGGAACCTCCATACGCATCATTTTACATTCCCACCAGCTGTGTACATGAGTTCAAATTTCTCTACATCCTTGCAAACCCATGATTATCTTTTATTTATTTTCTTCGTAACAGCCATCCTAACAGGTGTGAGGCAATAGCTCACTGTGGTTTTGATTTGCATTTCTCTGATGATTAGTGATGTTAAACAACTTTTCATGTACTTACCGGCCATTTGTCTGTCTTCTTTGAAGAAATGTCTATTCAAGTCCTTTGACCACTTTTTAATTGGTTTATTTGTTTTTTTGCTATAGAATTGTAGGAGTTCCTTATATATTCTGGATAGTAATCCCTCATCCGACATGGGGTTTGCAAATATATTCTCCCATTACTTTTCATTTTATTGTTTCCTTCCTTTGTTGTGCAAAAGCTTTTTAGTTTGATGTAGTCTACTTGTCTTTTTGGTGCCATTTCCAAGAAATCATTGCCCAGGTCAAGGTCAAAAAGCTTTTCTCCTATGGTTTCTTCTAGGAATTTTATGGTTTCAGGTCTTACATTTAAGTCTTTAGTGTGTTATGAGTTGCTTTTTGTGTATGGCTTAAGAGTCCAATTTCATTCTTTTGCAGGTGGATATCCAGTATTAACAACACTATTTGTTGTTCACAAACCACTTGTTAAAGTCACTTTCCTTTCTTCACTGTGTATTCTTGGTTTCCTGTCAAAGATCAGTTGACTGCATATGTGTGGGCTTATTTCTGAGCTCTCTCTTCTGTTTCACTGGTCTATATGTCTGTCTTTATGCCAGTACCACACTGTTTTGATTTCTATAGCTTTGTAACTTATTTTGAAACCAGGAGGTATAATGCCTCCATCTTTGTTCTTCTTTCTCAGGATTGCTTTGGATATTCAGGGTCTTTTGTGTTTCCACATGATTTTTAGAATTGATTTTTTCAATGTCTGTAAAACATTCCACTGGAATTTTGAAAGCGATAACAATATCAAGTCTTCCAATCCATGAACATGAGATGTCTTTACATTTATTTGTGTCTCTTTAAATTTCTGACATCAGTGTTTTGTAATTTTCAGTGTATAAGTCTTTCACCTCCTTGGTTAAGTTTATTCCTAAATATTTTATTCATTTTTATGCTACTGAAAATGGGATTGTTTTCTTAATTTCTTTTACAGGTAGTGTGTATAGAAATGCAACTTTTTTTTTTCTATGTTGATTTTGTATCCTGCAACTTTTCTGAATTTGTTTGTTAGTTCTAACACTTTTTTGGAGGAGTCTTTAGGGTTCTCTACATATAAGATCATGTCATCTGCAAAGAGAGGTAATTTTACTTCTTCCTTTCTGATCTGGATGCCTTTTATTGCTTTTTCTTACTTAATTGGTCTGTCCAGACTTCCAGTACTATGTTGAATAGGAGGGGTGAGAGTGAGCATCCTGTCTTGTTTCCAATCTTAGAGAAAAACTATCAGTTTTTTACCACTGAGTATGATATTAGTTGACAATATATGCCCTTAACTATGTTAAGTTACATTCCTTCTATACCTAGTTTGTGGAGTTTTTATCATGAAAGGGTTTTGAATTGTGTCCAATGGTTTTTCTATATCTATTGAGATAATCTTATTATCCTTCATTCAATTAATGTAGTCTATCACTTTTATTAATTTGCATATGCTGAATCATCTTTGCATCCCAGAGATAAATCCCACTTGTTCCTGGCGTATGACCCTTTTAATGTGCTGTTGAATTCAGTTTGCTAGTATTTGGTTGAGGATTTTTGCATCTGTGTTCATCAGAGATGGTGGCCTATAGATTTCTTTCTTTTTTTTTTTTTTTTTGGTAGTGTGTTTGACTTTGGCATCATGGTAATGCTCATGTCATTAAATGAGTTTAGAAGTGTTGCCTGCTCTTCAGTGTTTTAGAAAAGTGTGAAAAGGATTGACATTAATTCTTCTTTAAATGTTGGGTAGTATTCACCAGTGCAGGCATCTTGTCCTGGACTTTTGTTTGTTGTAAGATGATTCAATCTCTTTACTCATTATTGGTCTGTTCAGACTTTCTATTTATTCATAATTCAGTCTCAGTAGGTTGTATGTTTCTAGGAATGTATCTATTTCTTCTAGGTTGCTGGCACGTTAAGTGTTCACAGTAGTCTCTTATGATCCTTTTTATTTCTATGGCATCAGTTGTAATGTTTCCTCTTTCATTTATGATTTTATTTTTTTGAGTCTCCTCTCCTTTTTTCTCAGTAATTGAGCTAAAGGTTTCTCAATTTTGTTTATCTTTTCAAAAACCCAACTCTTAATTTTATTGACGTTTTCTATCCTCTATTTTGTTTATTTCTTCTCTAATCCTTATTATTTCCTTCCTTTTGCTGACTTTAGGCTTAGGCCTAGTTTTCTTTTTTGGTTGTTGTTGTTCCTTGAGCTGTAAAGCTGGGTTGTTTGAGATCTTTCTTCACCAGTAAGCCAACACTATACATCAATGGACCTAACAGACATATACAAAACATTTCCCCTAACGGCAGCAGAAAACACATTTCTCTCAAGTGCACAAGGAACATTCTCCAGGATATGTCACACATTAGGTCACAAAACAATTGTTAACGAATTTAAGAAAATTGAAATCATACCAAGTATCCTTTCCTACCATGATAGAATAAAGCTAGAAATGAATAACAGAAGGAAAATTGGAAAATTCACAAATACTTGAAAGTTTAAAACTGCACTCCTGAACAATCAATGGGTCAAAGAGGAAATCAAAGAGGAAATCAAAAATTATCTTGAGACAAATGAAAAATGAAAAGACAACATACCAAAACTTTGCGATGCAGCAAAAGCCATACTAAGAGGGAAGTTTATAGTGATAAATGCCTATGTTAATTTCTTATCTTAAACGCACATATCCCTTATTGTTTTGATTGTACAAGTACTCAGCCTACCACCGCCTGGTGGCAGTATACCTAAATACAGGGTCTAGTTTTGAGTTGGAGAATAAACCCTTTGGAAGGCAGATTATGTGAAACTGAATACAATAAGTGAGGGGCTATATAACAGTAGGATGAGCTACATGCTTTGATTCATGAGAAACGGAGAGAATGGTAGTTCTGCCCAGGAGCAAGAGTTCCAAGGCAGAGCTCTGCTCACCTGACACAAGAGGGCGCTCTCTTGACTCTTCTGTTTTCTCCACCAATCAGATTTCCTTCCCTTTACTTTGGTCTCCCGTCTCTCATTCACTGAAAGCATTTACTGCAAAGGTAGCAATTGCTCTCGGAAGGACAGAAGCTGTTCAGGTTTTTAAGATGCCCCAAAGCTGACAAGCAGGGCCAGTGGCATCGCCCACCACCGAGTCATGATGTTCACCGTGATGCCCTGAAGTCCCAGTTACTCACCAAGGTTGTACCACATGTCCCTGATTTCGAAGCCAATCTGTCTCCTCATATCTCCGTACCTGAAAACCAGGGACAGGAAAAACGCTGAGTCACTCTATGGAGCATTTGAAAATCAGACTTGGATTATTTTTAAGTGCAATGAAACTCTCCCATCCCTGAGACAAATAAAGAGAGTGTCAAGCATCAACTTCTTTTGCCACCAAAAGGAACTGAAGGAGGAGGAATCCAGCTAGGGATCTCATTTTCCCATCACCACAGATTACATAAGATCCTCCCCTCTGTGGAAACATGGGGGAGGTGGTGGAGAGAAATGAAAGTATTTTCCTTTCTTCAGTCTCTAATGGCAGGAGAAAGAGAACCCGGCTCCTTGGCTTGAGGGGGAGTTTGTTTTCCACGCATGTTATAAGCATCCAGGAACCAGACACCAAATGACATCCTACAGCCTGGCACACAATAAGCAGTTCTCACATATTAAATAAGCCCTGGAGTCTTAAACAATCAGAGCAGGGAAGGCCTCTTCCATACAGCTCCCAGCTCCTGGCTCTTTCTTTATCATTTTCAATGTAAGGAAGGGCTTAACACCAAAAGATGTCAACAAACATTCCCCTGTTTTTACATACCAGCAAAAATAAATGCTAATTTTCTTCCCAGTGGGTCAGCGGGGGGGGGGGGGGTGTTTCATGAGTAAACAGAATTTGATGTTTCAGAAGATAAACCTTTATTAGTTTGTGAGCAATGTAACATTTTCCTTTATTGCCTAAGGAAAAGGCTGATTCTATTACAAATAATAATTTGCAAAATTATCCTACAGTGTCACAGTGTAGCAGCTGTGTCGTGGCGCCTGCTCTGTGCGTCCTTATGTCAGCTCATGTGGGAAGAAAAGCTCTGATTACAGATGACCGACTTGTGCCTCCACAGGTAGAGATCCGGCTGGTAAATCAACAGCCCCAGCTGGCTGCTACCCTTTATCAAAGTCTCGGGTACCCTAAGCACCCGTCTGTCACTTACAGCAGGAAAGGACAGCAGACCCTGCGAGAAGCTCAACCAGGAAAGATGAACACACCCAGCAGCTCCTCTTTGGAGAATTCAACCTTGGGAGCATCACAGCCGGACAGATGCCAGGGCATTCACTGTACCCGTGGAGAAACTGAAGTGAGAGGGCAGTGTTGTACCCCTTCCTCCGAGGACAAGCTGGTCCTCTGAGGTGAATGTATTACCTTCCAGTCCAGCCTGACACCAGGTGAGCGCTGGTGCAGGTAAATTCGGTGAGTGAGAGAGAGGGGATCTCTGCCCAGGAATGCTCCCAGCACCAAGCCACAGGGAGCAGGGACCGGGTCACCCTTCTGCGCCTAGCTGGCACCCAGAAGTGCCCCAGGGACACAAGATCTGAGCACCAGTGAGGCGTGCACCCTTTTGAGGCTTGCAGAGCCGTTTTCCAATCCCCATTTTGTTCCTGTAGCAAGGACAGAGGGGTCCCAGCACCCAGGCCTGGAGAGGATGTGGGTGGCTGCATGATGACTGGGAAGACCGTCCTCTGGGCATTTACCAAGAGAATAGAATCGGGGAGAGGAAAGCCACGCTCCATCCACTGCAGATGCTTCCTCCTCAGGCTGGAGGGGTCCGCGCTGTCCAGGGGGATGAGCTGCCTTTCAGGGGAGCAGGTGTCTGGGGAGGTGAGGAGTGTGGCATCGCAGGGAGGACCCCGAGAACGTAAACACCCCAGCCCCTGCTGCCAGGTGTTCAGACCTCAACACAGTGAGGACGCCAGAGGCCCAGAGGAGGCGAGAGCCTGTCCCAGGGGTGGGCCTGTCACTAACTCAAGCTTAAAGACTCTTAACTGCCAAGCAACTCCTTCTCAGCCCAGAACAGTATCTCTTGAAAAATACGAATGGTTAAAGCCAGGCTGATCTCCATCAGCGTCTGCGCCTTGCTGGCCCCTGACTCAACTTCCTCTCCCGGGTCTTACAATAATTCAGATCAAACCCCAAACTTCAGAAAGATAAAGCGCAGGCCAGCCTTGGCAGCAGCGGGCTCACGGGTTGCGTTTGGATCACCAGGAGTGACCCAATGGATGCCTCAGGCCCTACAGTGACTGCTGTCTGTCCAGAGCTGGACTTGACCCGGGGACCCCAGGAGGCGTGTGAGGAGAGGGAAGCCGGCCCCGTCCTGTCTCTCCGCCCAGCGCCTCTGCCCCTGGTGCCGGCGGAGCGTGAGGGGCTCAAGGATGCCTGGGTTACATTTTTCAGTGACGCTTCACTGTCTTCTACGTGGGGAATGATGTGTCTTCACAGTATTTCAGAACAGGGGGATTAGCAAAGATCTGAGTGCACGTCGCTCAGGAGAGTAAAGCCTCTGGTAGAAAGGTGCTAAAAATGCCATTATAATAGTCAAATAAGACACAGGTGCTCGAGGCTGGTACAAGATGAGTACAGAGCTGGAAGGTAAAGGGCAGGACCGAATCTCTCCAGCAGTAAGATTGATCTCTTCTCTCATTTTAATAAGAAGGCAGCTTTGACAAATCTATACACTTCTCAGCGTAATCCCCAGATGGAGTCACAGCTGTCACCAGAATTTAAGAGGGATTCCTGCACCATTTGTAATCCTTGCCCCAAGGAGGAGAAAAAAGCAGTAATGGAGAGTATCTGGGATCATGCTCCTACCTGGAGAGAGAATTCCAGAGCTGGTGGCAGCCTTAGAGATCGTTACTAAGTCCACGACTAACGATTTATAGTTGAGGGAACTGAACTAGTCCTGGGGGGGAAGCAAAATGACTTGGCCATGGTCACAGGGCAAGGGGAGAAGAGATGGCACAAGTCTCCAGACTCCCAAAGAATTCCTGTTCTTCACCCCCAGCATGCATCTCGAGGACCAGAGAGGGCAGACTTCCACGATGTCACAGCACAGCACTGTGTCTCACCCCTCAAAGTGCATGTGTGGTGTGTTTCATTTGATTTGATTCTCACAGTAAGGCCACAAGGTGAGGAAGAAGACGTTCCCGTAGCTATCTTCCCGCTGAGGAAGCAGAGATTCCTGGGGGTGAAATGACGTGCCTGTTTCTGCAAAGCCGGAGTCACCCGGTACTCCCCACCACACCCAGGTCACCTGTACCCACCCACAAAGTGAGTGGACAACTTCAAATGGCCAGCCCAAGGGAGCTCCCAGGAGGCATCCTTTAGACAGTCCAGGTAGATCGCAGATCCCACATCCAGGCCTGTAACTCTGACCCAAAACAGCATGACTCTGGTCTCTGAGACCTTACCTTAGCACCTGCTTTCCTGAATCTTTGCCCCCAAAAGCAGAAATCCCATGTCCACCAGAGGTAGCCCAAGCCTGGGGGTAAGACCAACCTGAGACCAAATCTAAGCACACTGGGAAAATTACCTGACCACTCTGACCCTTGGTCTCCCCATGTGTAGTACTGGGATAATGACGGCATGATGCTCATCTATCTCCCAGGCCTTTGGGAGAACGAGGACACGGTGCCCTCGTCTGTCCTAACAAGCAACGAAGCCAGGCTGGTCCTTCCTTTAAAAGTTCAGAGTGGGCCTCATCACAGCATCCCCTTCATGGTTGCAATGGTCTTTTAGATTAATTTGTTCTGTAAGCATTATTCATTGTTTAATGAATTACTAAATGCTTACTGAAGGCCAGGCACAGAGCTAATATGGGGCCACTAATATAATGTGGGAAAGAGACACAATCCACAGACCTGAGGGACTATTAGCATGCAGCAGAGATGGGCATTAAACAATCATACGAGACTCACACATATATGTATATATAGTAGTTTTTTTGGTTATTATTTATGTTTTTTTGGAGGCCATGGTCACAGTTCTTTAGGAAAAACTGGAGGAGTGGGTCCAGGTTGGCTGTGGGAGAAGCTCTCTTAGAGAGTAATATTTACCCAAGATTTGAAGAAGGAAAGGTGTAATCCAGACAGAGAGGGGAAGAGACCAGCGGGTGCAAAGGCCCTGTGGCGGGGGGGTGGGGGTAGGTGAGTATACGGACCAAAGAAGGCAGTGAGACTGGAGGACAGGGAGCTTGCCTGACTCCTTCCCCTCAAGAGGAGGGGTGTGCTGTGAACCAAGGCTGCAGAGGCAGGTTTATAAGTATTTTTTTTAAGTTTCAAAAACGCTTTTGCAATAAGAAATATACTTTACTAAGCAGTGTGCATAGAAATGTACGTATACAAAAGTTCTACGAAATAATACTTAACTTTACTACCTGCAGCCAACTCTGATGCTTCCTTATATTCTATTTCACCGAAAAAAAAAAAAAGGGGAAAAAAATGTATGTGGTCTTGGGTCGTGTGGGTTGACTTGTGTCCTCCATAGAGATCTGTTAAAGTCCTAACCCCTACTACCTGTGAATGTGACCCCCTAAAGAGGGTCTTTACAAGATGTAATCCTGTTAAGATAAGGTCATGCTGGATGGGGCGGGCCTTAAATCCAAGAACTGGCATCATTATAAGGAGAGGGATACATTTAGAGACACAGACAAACAAGGCTGAAGGCCACGTGAAGAAGGAGGCAGAGACGAGAGTTATACAGCCACGGCCACGGAGCACCAGGGATGGGGGCCACAGCCACGGAGCACCAAGGATGGGCGCCACCCACCCCCAGAAGATAGGAGAGAGGCACGGACAAGGTCTTCCCTCTGAGCTTCCAGAAGGAACCAACTCTGCTGATGCCTTGGCTTCAACCTCTGGCCTCTGTAGCTGTGAGGCAATACATTTCTGTTGTTTCACTTAGTCTGTGTTGTTACATTATGGCAGATGACTCTAAGAAATTAATACAGTGGCCCATTAAGTTGCTATCCCAGCCCAGCGAAGGGCTGAGATGCACAATTTAAAAACTGTTATCTTAAGGAAAGAGAACAGAATAAGAAGGCCCAACACCAAGACTTGAGGAGCTCTTGCACTTAATGGGTGGAGGGAGGAGTCTGAGCCTGACAAGGGAGCAGTGGAGAGGCCAAAACGCTAGGAGGGAAACCTATAGAGGGGTTCTGGGAGCCCAGGACAGAGCTGGCCCGCAGCCAGCATCCGGAGTGGGTGTGGGTG